CGCCATTGGATTAGGCGTACGAAACACGTGAGTGAAAAAGATCCGGAAACTTTCTTGCTCAAATCTATATCTCCAGACTGACCAGTCAAATCAAATGTGATCAGATACCGACCCGACTCCCCCACAGCACTCATGGTCTCGGGAACACTGGATGCATTCTCGTCTGGTGTTTTACTTTATACTGGATTGGTCGAACTTCTCGCACACGACTTTATTTTCAACCGAGAAATGCTGATAGAGTCTTCGAATGGGAAGATGGCCTTTGCGATTGGATCGGTCCTCAGTGGAGCTAGGTACGTATCAAATCCATCATGTGGACCTTTTTCGGGTGCAAACACCAGATTTGAATTCCAAAGTCGTATATCTATGTATAGCCCCTGTGATTTGAAGCTGACATGATATTGCTATGACATCGGTTACCTTGGATTTTAGCATAATGGCCCTGTTAGGACGATGGGCTTAGGTCTCTGCCATCTATCATTTCATTTCTTGAGCTTCCGATTAAGCCACGGAATTCGCAATCAAGACAAGAAGTAAAACTTTGTTTTCAAAAAGCGCACTTTATAAAAGTTATCTAGCAATATTCGCCATTCACTGTACTTTAACATTTCTATTGAGTCTTTCTTTATGTTTATATAATGTTTGATACAACTTTTCATCGTTTTTCATTTTTTCAGCTGTAATCAACCTAACCAGATTGTGATATATGAGTTTCTAGATTATCTATACTAGGAAAGTAGGAAAGTAGGAAAGTAGGATGGTTATTACAAAAGTTCAATACGCTTTCTCCTACTCCATCAACTTTCCAGGGCACAAATGAACAAATTCGCACAATTCCTAGGGCTCTCCTCACAAAAGGTGTAAGAAGTCCTTCTTTCGAGTGGATTCTGATCCCTGCCCTGTCAGTCTGAGCTATTTGTACTCCCTTGATAAAAATTTCCATATAACAACAAAATTCAAAATGCAAAGGAGAAATCAACACAAGATTTAGGATGGAGTACAACTGCTTGTGGTACATTTTGCTTCGGCCAGTGAGAGTGACGCTGCGCAGCTGTGTGGTACCGGTGGTGTTGATTACAGTTTCCGAGGGTCTGTTTCAATGAGGACAATTGATTTTGTATTTTAGGTCTTCGAAAGACCTATCGTTAAGTGAGAACTTTAAACACGAGATGGGGTGGAATCCCTTCGGATATGGGTTCTTGAATATGTTATTGATGGGAGCCACAGGTGTAATATGGCTATCACCAGCCTCATCGCAAAGGATCACAAAATTAACAAAACTGTTTGTCTAGTAGACTAGTGTCTTGATTCTTGAAGCTGGTGCATCGTGTGAAGGAGATCATGCAAAGAACGAAGTATAACGGGGGAAGAGCAATCGCCGCAATAACAGCAATCGTGAGTCTGGCAGTCAAGCTCGTTGGGTCGAAAAAGAGTCCGAACGAGGTCCCATTTGTTGGGATACATAAAACCATAGGATATCATCAGTATAGGTCACCAGTTTCCGACAGAGATCGGCAGTTGTTTTGGCCGGCTTGAGAACCATCCGACCTGCTTTGTCTTCAATCGCCAACTCTGCTGGCAGAGGAATCGTCATCGTTGTGATTTGTTCAATTTACTGCTTCAAATGTCTCATTTTGATATCTTCAAGGTGATAATTCGCGAACAAGAACTATCAACGTATGCTTCCAGCTGCTCAGGGTCCTAACTTGTTGTTTGGCCGCCAATGGACTGCGCTCCATACAAGAATATGCCACAGAGACCTCGGAATGCCTACTACAGCAAGTTAAACGCTTGCGTTGGATGAAGCTCATCGAAAAGCTTCAGTGGTAAGTCGGCAGCTAATAAGCTGCGACGTGCAACACGATATATTAGTACTTCGCTTGATGACCAGCCCGCGGGTCCTGGCAGAGGAAACCTGAAACCTGTCATGCTGCGCGTTTGGAAACGCGTTTGAGGGCGTCAAGGGTGTAGCAAAGCTTCGTTCTCAACATCCCTAAAATCGATACTCTGCCTCCATCTCGTGATGTATATGTGTCTTAGGCCTCTCTCCTCGTCTCTGGAGCTTGGACATCACTAATCCACTCGAATACCATTCGACGTCCGTCCTTACCGAAGCCAACTGATCCATTTGTTATCACAGAAATATCCACTCGTTCATTCAACTAACAGTCACTCATTTTTGGGCACCAACTCAGAACCCGCTCTCCAACTTCTTCCTTCCACAGAAGATCTAAGATCCATCATTCCCTGAACCCGATTTGATTACACCAGATTTTGACACAAGCTACGAAAGATGATAACAAATTTGCTCGTAATCTCCACATTCGCCGGAGGACTCGTACATGGTCACCTTGAGAAACGAGACGGCTCGCCTCCCGCGCCTGTCGCCAATAATACCAATGCGACGATTCCGGTCCCGGTCACCACTATTGATACCAACTACACACCACCTGCTTTCCAGATTCCACCACCGGTAGTCAATTGGTCGGACCCATGCGCAATCGTACCGATTCAGCCTGATACATGGACTCGACTTAAGCTCGATGATTACTTGGCCAACTATCCTGGTGGTAAAAATATGTCTCTAGGGGTCAGTATCTACGCTTCACATATCGGAGTGGAACAATTAAATCTGCCTAGTGTAACGATTCAATCTAATCTCCACCATTGTCTACCTCCAGGAATTTGCCTCTTCGAGAGGCGTTGACAATTTTGTGTGTGGAATCGGCGAGAATTGTAATGCGGGACAGGTGAGTAACCCAGAAGACTTGCGGCCGGATTCCCTTGCTCATTCTATACCGATATTGACTCCGGGTCCCAGCCGTGCTTTCCTATCAAAGGGCCTGATTGGGAGGTATTTTATGCCCTACAAGGGTGGAACTTGATAAGAAACACATTGTACAGCGCCATCGGCACAGCGGTCAGCATGACACAATGTGAGTTTCCCCATCTTTGATCATGAAGACAAGTAGAATATAATTCAGTGAACCATAATCTTTCGCATTCAAGCTATCTCGTCCTCATTGGTTACGGATCTTTACAAGCCTCTCAAACGTAGCCCGCTTTGGAAGCTTAATGATATATTCTCAATCGCTGCAGGAATTGCTGCACTTATCGCTTCAGTCGCAATTGCCTGGCCCGGGACCTTGCTTGCGATGGGAATTTGGTACTCTATCAACGCACTTCTGGGTATTGGCCAAGGTGCAATCGGAATGACATTACTTGGGGAAAACTGGAAGCAAATCCCAGATCAATTCTCTAGAGTAAGATCCGATTTCTAAAGACTATCAAAAGACGTGTTAATCGGGATCATGAGAACTGATGATACTTTGGTTTTCTTCTTCCTCAGTGGTCACAATACGCATGGTACCTTGGAAAATGGCAAGGTTTAGCTCAGGAAGCGCTAAGTAATCAGACCACAGCAGTCATCAATGCGGGTATCAGTACACCTGAAGGAATTTCAGGTGTTCTCAAAGGTGGAGCGTACTTTATCCCTGTGCAAGCTCGACAGATGTCCGAGGTGGAGAACGAAATTTCTAACAGCGCAACCGCTCGAATCTTGACCCAGATCATTCGTGATTACGTGAGTCTTAACTCAGGAATCGAACCCGTTAAAACAATTTAGGGATCTGATTAAATTGTGTTTTTTAACAGGGTGGATTTGTCACAGTATCTGTAAGCTATTGAGGCCTCATGCTCCATAGAGAGAGCCGTAAGAATGTTTATTGAATTGGCTCTCTTTTCGGGATTTAGGAAGGATGTGACGGTAAAGGCCCAAATGGTGCTTGGGAGGATCCTGATTCGATCTCCTTCTGCTATCCAAACAAAACGTAATGCATCGGTTCTGTTCGAAAACATTATTCTTACCAACACAGCTGACATCTGTATCGTTTGTACCATGTGTCTTCAGGATGATGAATGTCATCAGACATAAGGGTAAAAAAGCTATCAACACTTGGTACCACGGATCCCTGATCAACTCGACTTACGGGTTCTCTGCTGAATACATCACTACACAAGCTTGGGATTGTCAACAAATGCACGGAGTAGGCGGACAAAACCCTTATAATGATACGTAAGTTGTTCATATCTTCTGACGATAAAAAGTAGATCCAATTCTCATCTATTTGGACAAAATAGTGCATTCCCAACCAACAGCAGCTCTACTTGCGTCATGGACTTACCGGTGTGCGATCTACGAAGTCACAGTAAGTTGATTAGATGAATCATCAATTGATAAAGTCTGATGAAGGTCACCTTTATCTTTAAACTACGACTTTTCAGGGATGCGCAAAGCAGTGGAGAAGCATGGAACAGTCGAAGCTTGCAGAAAGGAAGCTCATTTACCAATCTAAGTAGGATTTTAAACCGTTTTGTGTGCTTTCTTTCCTTCATAGGAACATTTTGAGATATCTTTTTTTTATCAAACTCCTCCCAGTCATTTTGAGTGCGTTGTCTTTGAGTTGATTTATAGTCTAAAATCAAATCTTTACAGATACTTATTCTTATAGCCAAGATAATAGTGGAGCCAACCATCATCTCCCTGAATAGGATTGATCCTGCATAGTGGAATTTCTATTGCAAGGAATCAAAGATACTCTCATGTTCAGACTCTTCCACTCAGCCAAAATTATTTCGCTTCCAACCTCTTGCATGTTTCATTACTTGATTCAGATCATCAATTCCCTTTTCAAATAGTTACAAAATAGTAAAGCTACTTGGTACACATTAACTCCTTTCAGTCACGGTTTTCTTTGCCTCTGATCTTCTGATAAAAAACCACTGGTATCGCCACCATTCAATCTGCAACTGTATGATAAATTTACCCGCATTGTGGTCAATCGTTTTGAACAGTAAAAATCTATCGTCTCTCTTCAAACTCCCTTGATCTTTCTCGTCACACAAGTCGCGTTGTCGAGTTGCTGTTGAAAGTGAAATAGGATAGTATACTATAGATACTGCAATTTTTTCTAGGCCTTTTTGTCTCGAAAGATGCGTAAGGTGCTATGTCCGAGTGGTTAAGGAGACGCCCTGCTAAGGCGTTGGGTTCTGCCCGCGCGAGTTCGAATCTCGTTGGCATCGAATTTTTGGCGCTCCTGAGCCACAATGATCATCATGAGTTTTCCCCCTTGATGGCGACTGAGAAAAGTGTTGTGCAATGATTCCTACAGGTGGGTGATTTTGGCGAACGGGAAAGTCAGAAGTCAAGGACAGGGGTCCAGCTGGTACAGGGAGTATTCAAGTGTAAAGTGTTGCATGAAAAAAGTTGTACTATGTGCCTGGAGAAAGGTGCGAGGAATTCATGGAAAAAGAATTGCTTCAGTACAATACGCTTGAGGGATTTGGATGAAGCCCGTTCCATGACTTGATTTGATTATGTATTGAGCCGGACTGTGGCCCATCTATGAAAGGACTTGAGGCTAAAAGACTCTGAAGGTGATGGAAGTATTGCACAACTTCAATTGATCTTTTGTGACAAAAGACAGATGAATTTTCTCATCACCATCAGATCAACAATTTATTCTTCTGAATATAGATTGTCCATACCCTTGAAGCTTGAAATCCAGCAATAGGATCCAAAAAAAATTATTTATTCATCTTCAAAAGATCTCCATCCTGTGAATGAGCAATATTGAATTCTGGGGACATATTAGACATTAAATTCTATACAACAGTGGACTTTCTTATAAGAAAAATTATAAGAAGTCTTCTCATTGGTAGCCAACATTCAAGATCAAGCTGATCCAAAAGTCTACCGGATCATTGAAACTTCTGAAACTCGTATGGCTCCTATTAATAACCAGAGAAAATATTGTAGAACCTATTAATATGACTTCTGTTGATCTAAGACTACAAGCTTTCAAGACAGTTTAAATCTCTTTAAGAAATAAATTCATTTTACCCCAATGTTAGAGATCAATTGAGAAATTCAAGTTGGATTTGTACTCTTTGAACAGTCTACAGTTGGTTTCACCTAAAATCAACCACAGCCTGATCCGGTTTGGCCCCGGCCCCGGCCCCGGTCCGAAATGTTGAGGGGTTGTGACCAGCGATGTTTGGTGCAATTTTTTTCTTTGTTGAACTCAAATTCATACAAATTGATACAGCTGTTCAAGGAATTTGTGTTGTGATTAAAGCTGATTGATCATACATGAAATATACAAGGTTTTTGACTAACAGGGCTCAACTTGAGCGCTCAAGATGAGCCATATTGAGGCCTTCTACAACCCATAATTACTCCCTAAACCCATACTTGCGACCCATAATCTCTCTATAAAGCCATGATGTCCGAAATGTATGGGAATAAATTTGAAAAAAAAAAATTCAAAACAAAACCGCTGGCCACATCGACTCAAAAAGTCATTCACCGCATAAGCCACCCTCTATTACCCCAAAAATGACTTTTCAGACCCTGTGAACCCCTTGAGGCAGGTGGGTTGGCTCGGGTCGGTAAATTTCGATTTTTGCGGGCGCGCGCGTGGTTGATTCTAGGTGAAAGCAACTGTAGATGGGTTTGAGAAAAAAGTCAATCAAACCCAAATCTTAAAACAAAATTGAAACCAAATCCGTTTCAATCTTGTTTTCAATAGTCTCCAAGATCATTTTGTATCAAATCAAATAAATAAATAGGATCACTCGATCATCATAAAGTACAAAAAGATCAAGAATGTGGGGATGAAACTCCTATATGGACAAAAAAAAGAAAACTCAATTCGTAAAGAAAAAAAATCATTTCTAAACCCCAAGCTTGTTCCGAGAGTTTAGATCCTGATGAATGATTTCTTGATAGATTTCTTGATGATGTTGAGTGATGAAAACAATAGATTGTATCTGATTTGAAGAGAAAAAAAGTCAGAATTCATGAATCACAAATATGATTAAGGTCAGAGGAGGTTGTGATGTTGATGATCAAGACTGAATGACGAACGCAAGCTTTGTATGAGAGTATCAGTGTGAGCTTTGTAATACGATCTCTAGTCAATAGTTAGTAATATCATCATCATGTGTGGTTATATAGGGAAGTTAAGATCGAATGTGAACGCGTGGTGAGGTGCATGGTTTATCAATTTTTGAATGACTTGGAGATCAAATCCTTGCAGATCGTTTTTCAAGAGGATGATCAGACTTTATAGAAACCTTTTTTGTAAGATCTTCAATGAGCTTTGATTGAGCTCTAGATGGTTCAATTTTCAAAGTCAGATACAAATTGTTTATCTGATTGATCGAATTCTTGATTAAGCTGAAAAGGCAAAGCATTTGGTATGGTTTGATTTGAAGAAATGAATTGGAATGTATGTAGATTTCATTTTGACCAAGACCGTTTTAAGAAGAGGTCAAGTTGAGAATTTCATTTACTCAATCTCTCTCTCTCTCTCTCTTTGACTTTGATGGGTTGTGTTTGATGTTCTACTTACTCTGTTTCGTTCTCTTCCTCTTTACTTTTCATTGACTTCTTTTCCAATCAATCCAAACTTGAAATTTGAAGATTCGAAATTAAACCTAACCAACCTATCTCTAATCCTTAACTACCTAGAAGCTAAAGTTAAACTACCATTAGACTTTTCCTTCATCCCTTGGTGTGAGTTTTCGTTTGAAGAAAGAAAAAAAAAACAAATTCATCATTCAACTTGTGGCATTCATCCATTCACCACAAGATTGGTTGAATTCTGAAGAAGTTAGTTCCTTACCTTTCTCTTTTTGCTTTGATTTTTTTGTTCAAGTTCTTTTCTACACTCTTAATTTGCTTTACACTTATTCTTTCTTTTCTTCTTCTACTTCTTCTTTCGTTTATTCGAAAAAACATTAAATAAACCATTTTTAATCTAAAACACCCAAGAAATCACAACCTAACCACCATTTTGAAGAAAGTTTTCAAACTTCAATTTAGATTAAACTATTAACTTACTCACTCTCACCTAACTAAACACCTCATCCAAAGTTCATCTCATCAAGACAGTTTTTCAAAAACTATTTCAATCTCAACTCACACTGATCTGTTTGCCATCATCTTCCTTTCATCTCTCAATCTTTCCCTCTCTTTGCCTTCTCTCAAACCAATCAATCAAACCATCACTCACTCACTTAACCAACATCTCAACTTTTCATCAATCTCAACGAACAAGACTACAACCAATCAAGTCGATCGAATCACTCTTATTCATCCACTCATCTCTTCGATCGATTCAAACGTTTTAATTTACTCTTCAGTATGTCTTTCTTTCAAACCTCTCATTTCATCTCACCTTCATTCAATCTTAAGCTAATCTGAGTTCTGATAGCTTGTATACTCATCACTTAAAAGGTTTTAAACGATGGCAGAACAGGGTGGACCAGAGATCGACCTTGACTCAGTGATTGATAGACTATTAGAAGGTCAGTCTTCTCACCCTCTCTCTTCTCTTCATTCGCGTCTCTTTCTTCACCTTCTCTTCATTCAAACCATCTCCTCGGTGCACACGACAATCGCGATCAAAGAATCAATACAAAAACCGATTCGGCCTTTCGTCTTCCTTCGCTTCTACGCATCATATTCTGAACAAAATAGTTAATTGTGTGTTGCTCTACCTTCTTTTGACTTCTTGATGTTTAGTACGAGGAAATCGACCTGGTAAACAGGTTCAATTGCAAGAATACGAGATCAAGTTTCTGTGTACGCGAGCTCGAGAGATCTTTATCAACCAACCTATCTTACTCGAATTAGAAGCTCCAATTAAGATCTGTGGTAAGTCTCTCTCCCCTATCCTTCAATGAATCGCCTGAACATGTATTGAGTATCTCCAACCCGACACTCTCGATTTCCTCAGGCGATATCCACGGCCAATATTACGATCTACTTCGTTTATTCGAATACGGTGGTTTCCCTCCTGAAGCTAACTATCTATTCCTTGGAGATTATGTGGATCGTGGAAAACAATCACTTGAAACGATCTGTCTGTTATTGGCTTACAAGATTAAATATCCTGAAAACTTTTTTATCTTACGCGGTAATCATGAATGTGCTAGTATCAATCGGATATATGGTTTCTATGATGAATGTAAGCCTTCTTCTCTACATCACTGGAAGGGAAGCTTCGAGATTCTGACGTGCTGTCGGGGGTATATCAGGCAAGAGGAGATATAACATCAAGCTTTGGAAAACTTTCACAGATTGTTTTAATTGTCTTCCGATCGCGGCTATCATTGACGAAAAGATCTTTACGATGCATGGTGGCTTGAGTCCTGATTTGCAGAGCATGGAACAGATCAGAAGAGTCATGAGGCCTACAGACGTACCTGATACCGGTATGCTTGACCCATATCTTGAAGTCGACGTTCATCACTTGCTCAATTCCATAAATCTGTTCTCTCTACACTAGGTTTACTTTGCGATCTACTTTGGTCGGATCCTGACAAAGACATCACCGGATGGTCAGAAAACGATCGAGGTGTCTCATTTACGTTTGGCCCTGATGTCGTCACTAGGTTTTTACAGAAGCACGACATGGATTTGATTTGTCGTGCACATCAAGTTGTCGAAGATGGTTATGAATTCTTTGCCAAACGTCAACTCGTCACACTTTTCTCGGCTCCAAATTACTGTGGTGAATTTGATAATGCGGGGGCCATGATGAGTGTAGATGAAACTTTGTTGTGCAGTTTCCAGGTGAGCCGTTTTTTCTTCTTTCTTCATCATCATCCTTGTCATCATACTGAATTCACTCCTTTGGATAGATTTTGAAACCTGCAGAGAAAAAACAGAAGTTCATGTACGCTGGCATGAACTCTGGTAGACCGGTTACTCCACCACGAAAACAGAAGAAGAAAGATGGCAAACCTGCATAAAAGAAACATATAAATCTATATGTGATGTACCTGTGTGTGGGACCAGACAGAAAAAGTTTTTTTTAATCTTTCAATCTCTCTTTATCTTTTTGGTTTGGTTTGTGTTTAATGATGTTTTTTTTGTTATGTTTTTTTGTTGTGTGTGTGTGTTGCGTGCCTTTGTTTTCTGGATCATCTCTTCTTTTGATTTTTTCCCTTCTCCTTTCTCTTTTCCTTCTACATTGGTTTTCACATATATCTATCTATATATATATATATAT